ATGTCTCCTCGATAAGGTTCGAGGTGATTGAAAATAGCCCCCAAAAGATCATTTTGCTATGCTTATTTCGAGTTGGAAAAGTGCCCATCACAAGTTTACACGTACAAGTTTAATTTTGTCGGCGGTTTTCCGAATCCTCTGAGGAACGACTTACTTGTAAAACGACTGGTGCCAAGGTAAATAGCTTAATACAACAATAGCTGTTTCGGACTTGGGATCGTGTCTACAGAATCCAAAAGTCCATTTTGACTCCAAGTCAGTTAGCACAAACGAGTAATGCTGAATAACGGCACTGAAAATAAATACATATATTTATAGAAGCAAAGAGCGGCCCCTGGAATAATGAGAATAGCCAAGATCCATTGAAACTGATGGTTCACTGGTTTTGAGCAATTTACTTAATAGCTTCCAGTTTGATTACAGATTTGGTTTCAATATTGTTTCAGTGAATCACACGTCTAGTTGATCGAGCGTTATCAGGTTTACTTGCTTTTCAAATTTATAGGGATATGCAAATTTGGGAACAGCTTTCAACACCTCCAAGTCCTTGTACTTGTCTGGATATTGTTGGATAACCCAGGCATCTTTGTCCTCACTCGGTGGAACCACTTCGCAGAAACACTCGAACAAATGCTTAACATTTTCACTGAAAACGACAAATTTAGAAAGTTCCTGACTACTACCTACTACAAACAACAATAATTCGTTTCGCACAGACTTACCGAATTCTCGAACTCATGACAGCTGTGTTACCTTTCAGCCTTTCTCATAACAATTCACTTGGATCAAAGTATGATCAGTATCAGCATGAGGAACATTTTTGCTTCCGTTTGTTCATAGCCCTATAATTAATTAGATCCAAAAGTAAATACAGGCCCCAGATAGAGGAAATACCGACATTTAGCACTAGACGTCAGATCTGACAGCGATTGAACGTTGCCAGTGGGGCTAATTATTGTCGACTGAACCGCTGTGTCCCACGGCAAAGTTCCTGAATTTGTATACATACGCAATGGTCGGGCAACAGTGGTCAAAGACAATTGACGCAGCAATCGGCGAGTATCGATAATTTTCGTTCATTTTAAGCGGCAGCATATCGAATACAACATTGAAGTGATTGTGTTTCGATTATCAATTAATTTTAAATTAATTAAAAAAAAATTATTAAAAAAACACAATTTAAAAGCATTATTTATTTTATTCAAAAACACAATTTTCAGCACGACAGCAAAAAAATTAGAATTATTGAAAATGTACAAAAATAAAATTAAACTTAGCCAACTGTAAACTGATTGTGATAGCAAATTACAGCTAAACTTTCATTAGTATCTACTTAAAACCCGGTATTCAAGTTTTAGGTTGAGTTAATATGGAAAATACATGCTAATACAAGTCCGTTTAAAAAACAAACAGGAGAACCTGTATAGCTGATGTAATCCGCCTTATTCACTAATCATTCGCGTATGTGCAAGGCTAAAGACCTCCAACAGAAACTTAGTTGATGCGCTTATAGAAACTCCATTTCCCTTTCAATGCCGACAAACTTAAGCTGTTCAGTTGGTCCATATCTGCAAAGCAACAAGAAAAACCGACTTATGGGAAAGCGGATAAAATTGGGCAAATTACCTGTAGTCAAAGAAAAGTTCTTCGCCGGGTTGAATGGCTCTTTTGGCGAAAATGCCAATCCTGTGATCGCCATTGACCATCATCACCTTGGCATAACAGTTCGGATTGATTGAGTGATTGGCAAATCGGATTTTGTTCCCCTTTCGGGTGGCGTCCACCACAAAGTCTAAAAATGCCCCAAATTTGCACCCAACAAATGGCCTATCGGACTATGAAGCTCACCGTTGTTTAAATTAAACAGAAATGAACACATGTATTTATCATACACCTTTCCTCTGCGGTCGGCCTCGTCTTGCGAGATGATTTCGCCGCAATATTCCGATATAAATTCGTTCTTTTGGGCGCTGTCTTTGAGGAAAATGCCCCAGCCTGCCACGTCGGAGGGGGCCATCAAAAGATGCTTGTCTAAACCCGGTACAATTGGCCATAAATCACAAAAAAATCATTAAAAACTTACGCAATCCGCGCTGGACGCTAACGTTTTTGCAGGTGATTTTCGTAATATCGAACTGATCGGCCCCACACGTTTGGCATAGATCAGGATCGCACTCCCTTACGGCTAAATAGCAGGGGCACTGTTTGGTGTTGCACTGGGCTTTACATCGGCATCCAGGGAACCGATTTTGACCTGCAACAGGCGCCTTCAAGTGTTGAAGCCGAGAAATGAAAAACACTTACAATCGGAACTGCACTGGCAAAACTTCTCGCAAAAATTCTGCGCTCCAATGCAGGGACAGTTATTGTCGCAGTTCTGCCCTGGATGGTCGCACGGCGTGAAATTATACACGTGATTGCTGCTGGAATCCTTCTTCAGCTGTATCTTGCGACAGTGCATGGACCAAAGTCGGTGCTTCTTCTTTTTCTTCCGCGGAGGCGTGTAGTCTCGCATGGTTTCTTCTGCGGGGATATCAGCGGCTTCTTTCTTCGCAAACTGATAAACCTGGTAGAACAGCTGGTCAACAGTGAATGTTGAATGGGCGTGGATGAATTTACCTGCTGGCAGGTCTTGGTGAGGATGATTTGCGCAATGGCGCAATAGTTGTTCAAAAATACTTTGTGCAAAGCTCTAAACAAACTCTCGTCGGACCCAGTCCACTCGTTGTGATCGTTAGCGCCCATCAGACCCAATAAACTGAAGGACGTGGTGGTCGATACCGGATCGCCATTATCGCAATCTGAAATCGATCAATTATAGGTTTTTTAGCTGTTGAAGGTGATCAGCTGTACCTTTATTACTGTCGTTGCTGTCTTCGGAGCTGGCCTCGTTTCCAGAGTCGACGCTAGTTTGCTTGCAGATTTTTCTAGGATTAGTACTGTTTGAACTTGCAGCAACTCGCGGCTCGACCAAATCCACCAGTGATTTGCGCTTTTTGTCGCGTTCCTGCTCCTTTTCCTTCTCCACCCGTTCAGTTTCCTCCTCTTGCTTCGCCTTTGCAGCCATTTTCTCTTTCACGTCCTCCTAGTAGGGAGGAATAAAGCATTGCGTTCTCTACTCATCAACCGCACGTACCAAATGTATATAACAGTCGGGCCCGCAGGGCTCGCAGAAAGGCTTCAGATCGGGTCCTCGTCGCTTTTGCAAATTGGGGCCAGGATGGCAGGCTTGTAAACCTATGGAAAGCCGAAAAAGTCGTCACTTCACTTGAACATTCTTGAGATGTTAAAACTACGTATGAATGAGTGAAACAAAATGCACGGGGTCTTGGTAAAATTCCACATGTAACTGGCCAATTGGTCTGTTCTCTAACACAGACATTTTTGAGGCAATTTCCTAAAAAAAGCTTTTAACAAGATGAATGAAATGAATAAAACTAAAGCTGCTCAGTTACCTTGCGATCCTTGAAATTCGGGTAAGCAATTGAAAAATATATCATTTAGAAAAGCTGATCGGAAAGCTTTATGGCACTAAATCGATTATTCTGGACGACTCTTCTTGTTTTCTACTCAGGACCACAACATTGTCTAATTCTGCATGTTTTGAAGACATAATCGCCTAGAGGGTACTTACGGTGCAAGAAGCAATCGTACTTGAAGCATCTTCGACAGAAAAGGGTGTGGAAGGAATGCATCGTTTGCTCTCGTGGCACTGAGGCTGCACACGCACCATCTATATTAGGGGTGCATTCTGGAGGAGAACTCGGGTCAGTTCGTTCGGTTAATTCAATATACCTGAGCAGAAAGTTAGAGAGTTAGCAGCAACGTTGTTTCACCTCAAAATATAAATTACTTGTCCCTTAGCTCTTCAGAGCCGCCTTTGTCAGGGAATTGGCTAGAGATGGCCTGGAAAATCACAATGGACGGGAACTCCAAGTCGCTCTTTTGCTTATCGTCTTCATCGTTAGGCAAATCGTCCCTTTCCAAGTCTAGACGTGTGGAAACATTTATGCAATGAAGTGAAATCATTGGCCATCCTCTTACCCTTCTCTTCCTTCTTTTTCTCCACCTTTTTTTCTTCGGGTTTCTCCTGAAACTGCATTAACGCGTGAACCAACTCGATGAACAGTTCATCGTCGATAAAGCCCGACTCTTGATCGCCATGAACTTTGCCATCGTAGTTCTTTATCAGCTCTTCGATAAATGTTCCTAGAAGCACATGATTGGTTTTTCAACGCACATCAACCCGATTTGGATGTGTTTAGATTACCATCCTGATCTAGTATCTCATCACCCATATATGGAATGTTGTGTAAAACAGTCTCATCTTCCACCATAAAATTCTGCTGAATTGGGGCCCAGGTGTACATTGTCGGAATGGGTGTGACTGCGTTGATGATTTTGATCGACGCCACCTGAATATCTCCTAAAATTATTTAATAGGAATTTTCAATTGGTGCCAGGTTTCGGCGAAGCTGGATCACCTTCATTTCCAATCACTTCCGCTTTCTTCATACACGTTGCATGAGCTGAAAGGTCGGGATTTTGCACCCAACATGCTTTGCCATCCGTCCATCTAAACGCACCAATTTGCTCAATTAACTCCAGCAACTAACAGGCAAGTGGATCATTTTACCTTTTCTGTTCTGATATGAGGATGTCTGTCATCTGTTCCTTATTCCTGTTCCATGCCACTTTAACATCGTCAGCTCTTTTGTACCTTTTCTGCTGCCTTAGTCGTAAATACTCCTGCTTAACTCGCTTCTTCCAGTCAAAGGTGTTCTTCACTTTCGACATTGTCGCGTGATATTCTAAAAGAAACATGCTTTGAATTGGATTTTTTTATTGGAAAATAACAAAAAGTTGCAACTTCCGTGGAAATTCAACGATTGATGGGAATCGATTCAAACTTTGTACGCTTATAAAGCAAAGCTTCGACCATGAATATCGAAAATTGCAGCTATTGGCCTGCCCCAGCTTAGAAGCTGTCGATGTTTAGAGTCAGGCCAGCTTCAATTAAAGATATTTTCTGGAGAATGTTTTCTAATGAAATAAACTGTTGTGCTCCCAATTAATGGAAACTCTTGTAAACTGAAGGAATACTTCAACAGTTTTTTTTTGCCTAATTATTCACAATTATTGAATGAAAAGCCCCCTTTGAAGGCCCTGGACGTTGTTTGGAAGTAGGGCTTGATTTTGTCCGAATGTCTGAGCAAAAAAGGGCCTGTTTTGCTGCTCCAGATAATATTCTAATAAAATCCCATTACTTAGATATGGTTTAAAGGGGAGTTCAATGGACTTTTCTCAACGACAAAGCCCCTAGTTAACCTTGCTACAGGAAGATTCTTTCACATTGGTTCTAAACAACTGAAAGCACTTGATTCATATATACCGCACTTACTTTCATCGGGAATTATTTCAAACACTAAACAACACTTTTTTAATATTCTAAAACACTTCACAAATCAAACTCGCTTGAAACACCAAAACAGAAAATTAGTTGGTGGGAGGTGGGAGCAATCAGTAATCACAAAATATCCCCCCTTAGAATGGAATGGAAGCAAAATAGAGCGGGACATACATGCTATTTCGGCCTTCGAAAATGTAGATGTCGCGCCACAGAAACTTTTTTGGCAGAAATTTATAGCAGTTTGCGGTTAGTTTGCCATTTGGTAGATATGTGGCGCACCCATAATGCAACGTAACCAGTTCTAGATCAACTTTTAGAGATTATTAGAGAATGATTAGAGAAGCTAACCGGTATAAACAAAATTTTAAAGACAACCGGTGCAGGGGGGTTTTTCTATATAGCGAAATTTTATCGAGATTTTGTTAGCCGGAATATTGTTGTGTATTTTTCCCTTTAATCGTAGTTGTAAAATTGATATTCGGTTAAGAAATTAATTTGAGTAATTTGTCATTGGTTGAGGCGAGGGGGTATGTTTATCTGGCTCGAATGGTTCTTGAGAAACTTCGAAAAAGCAGCGTCATGTTCAAGTGGATTTTGCAACTCATAAAAAAACACGCAAATCTAAAACTTCTTGGATTCAAGCATTTTTTGAGAAAACTGCCAACATCTGCTTATCGATGGTTCACTTTCTAAAAAGGCCATTTATTTCTCTATAGAAAGATGTACACATGAGCGTTCTTGCTCATTTTGCCTCCGAGAAATGAGCAAAAACGGGACGGAAAACATGGAATTTTGACATAATCTTGCACCTAAGTGTCTGATA